TTACACCACTTTCAGTAATCAGGTTGAGCAATACTGATCGATCAAGACTGCCGAGTGTTTTTGTAGTCTAAGAACACCATTGTGACGGTTTTACTTTTCTTATCTAGTGCCGAGATTATTAAATGAACAAGATATGCTACGGCATCGAGTGTCATACGATATATCCATTGGCTCCTTTAGTATTATTATATTTCACATATGTCTGAGTCCAAATTGTGTGCTAACCCAAAGAAAATAGTCCGTGATTTGCTTGTGAGTGGAATATTGCTAGGCCGCTCGGGTCAAAGCATGTGAATTTTCATAGGGAATTCATAACCGGAGCCTTTAGCCAGCCAAAACTTGACCTGCATGGCTTTTCATCCCCTCATTTTGGTGGGGAAATACCTCCACCGCGCCATGTTAGTCAGAGGGCTTCCTCTGAAGAGGCTTATTAAGACATTTACTTGCATGAAAGTATTTTACGAGGTGCAACTCCAGACACCCACCTCGGCCATACTGAGACCTTCAGAGCCTTGTTGTTTTAGTTTACACTTGAAACTCCCTTAAACATTGGTGCGTTTCCATTGAAGTGTAGAAACCGTCAACAAAAAGATGCAAATTATCATAAGTGATTCCATCATTTGGCTCTGAAACATTTCTGCACTAATCACCTGACACTTGCCCTGACCACGAACCAAATTCCATCGAGCTCGTCTTATAGGACGAATCCGCCGGATATGCGACGTAGAGGAACACTAAAAATACTTGGGATATTTTGCCATTGGATACTCATAGTGTTGAATTATGCTTGTTGAAATCAACTGTGAGTGAATACGCGTTATTTTGCTTTTGTAGACGCGGCTTCTGCGCGATTTCAATCGAGTGATCTATCACCTATATGATCGTTGCCTTCGAACATCTCCGTGTGCCACGGATGCCCTACTGATGGCTGAACAGCAACTCGTGGACACATTCGCCTTTGTCCGTCCTCCAGGATTTAACCCACGTGTCTCGATTGATGCGCGGCAATCTACTAGGAGTAAGTGAAACAGTAGTGTAGCCTTTAAAACGTTACAGTTACAGACATTATTAATCAGTGATAGTGCGCTCCATGGAAACACTGTGGTCACGTACCATGGTGTGGAATGTGTCCAACTATTTCTCTGTAGTGCTTGAAATATACACACATCAATTGTAATCAAAGCACGGAATCGCAATAGTGATGGTCTGCGGACATCTCTGACAACGAGAAGAAGGAAAATTTCACAGAAGTAAAGATTTATTTATTGAAGAAAGGAATTCAATAATATGTAGAGAGGAATATCATTGGTTAAACAGGCATTAATCAATCACCGTTGGTGTTCTTTGCATGACAGGGCTCTTGTTGAACTGAGTGGCTTTTGATTGGTTCAGTGTCGAATTCTGATTAGTTGTCCTGAAACGGTACCGCAAAGCCCCTTGACTGGCGGTACCTAGGAGGATTGGATCACCATATACTGTTACACAGTCAATCATATAAAAAGCGGTAAATGCCGTGGTCAGCGACATAATGCAAGAGACTGTGTGTGTGGGGGGGGGGAATTCAAGAAAGAATCCATTTGTGGGTTTTGCTGGTGAAAGTGATTCAAAATACATGACGCTTTACAATTTCTCACTCCAGGATAATTTGTGGTCCAGATCGAGTAATTATTTGAAACATGAGCGGATACAATCCATAGAACAAAACACCGCATGATTTCGGGGGGAGGGGGGGTAATCCTCGTGGATGATACCAAAATGATTTAGTCGAGTTCATATGAAAGTCATAAATTGAAAGAACGACAGCAGTAGCAGTGTTAATCCGTGATCTACCAAAGATCAGCTCAGGCCAGACGCATCTAATTTCTCAGCAGAACCCACCACGAAATGTGGTGCAATGCCGTGTGGAATGGAGAAAATTGCGTAAAGTTGCAAGGTTTGAATGGTAAACATTGCACGTCATTTAAGTCGTTGAGTGTTTCCCTGTATATGAGATCCATTATTTCACAAACTCGTTTGGTAAACGCCTCCCGAGTAACGGGAATTAAGATAGTACAAACTAGATCCGAGAGTGCTAATCCAATAATGAAAGATAACGCAAGCCGATGAAGAAATCCTTTATAATTCCTGTCAGCCAACAGCAAGTGAGCAATCAGGACTAATGCGATTTACCGAGGAGCAATTAAGAGCATTCACGAACACCAACGCTGATTGGATAATATCTGTGATCAATGAATTATCTTATTTAAAATCATGCACTCTATGTGGGTTCCCTCAACACACGAAATTTTGCCTTCGTGGTCTTCTTCCTATATCTCGGTACTAAGAATTCCACTAAGCGACTACCGATGCTATTCCGACTTTTCTAGAGTAAATGCTACAGGATTTTATCAATATTGAGCCGCAAGACACCTTGGTCATGTTTTGTTTTCGTATACCATACTTGTGCATAGGAAACAATGGGCAATTTACTTTTCATCAATCGACAATGACCATTAAGTACTCACTTATTCAGTACCGAGTGCAAGAAGTGCTTTTATTTTTTGGAATCGAAACGTGTNTTCCCCCCCCCCCCCCTCTCCTTTGCTCTCCAATACGCTTTTCGTTTCCAGGTGGTGCACATCAGATGCATAACAGTCGAGTGGCCACGGAAACACAAGGTTTGAGTGTTGTTGCTCTCGGGGAACAAATCAATTTTCCTGGTGAGAACGAACGCCAACGAAGTCAGAAATTTAGTGCACGTGCAGAGAGGACCTCAACCGCCCGCCCCGATTCAAGCAGTAAGAAGAAATGAGTTAAGCTCACGACACAATTGGCCAATTTGCGGTGGAAATCAGAAGCATGACTTGATCACCATCTGGGCAGGATGCGGATGCTTGTCTCAATCCACATGACTCAGCGCATAATTTGATAAACTGGAATACTGTTCTGTTCAGCTCCATTGGTAAAACCAATGCAATAAACGCACAGTATCAATCGTTCTTACCCCTCCCCCCCCCCGCCTTTCAGCCGTGCTAAGGTAATATAAACATGATAAAAAACCACAATTTAGTCAATTTTCTCGACACACAAAAGGAAGGATCAGATTGAGAACGGAACACAAGGAACTGTCCAAAAGAGGGAATCGTGTTCGTACTAACGGACTGAAGAATGCCCATTCGATTGTTCAGAGGCACCAGGCACTCTTGATGGTCTTCGGTGTGAGTTTCACTCCTTGGGAGATCGTTAATTCCCTACAAGATAATGCACTCAGTTGCGATGGAAAACCAAGCTTGATACTCTAAAATCGATTGAGCCATTCGAACAAGGTGATGACCATCGACCGTGTAACTCAGGGTTAAGGGTTTGAAGTCCCGACCCGACTGATCGCGGTTCTAACGGACCCAAAAAGTACGCACTACTGACGAGTCCCAAACAGCTGTCCAGTGCTTTTCGTTTGTTATCACAAACATTTCCATCGGACTGAAGAATGCCTTTGAAAACCTGGACTTTATTCACCATAGAACACCGAGCAGAGACCGTGGTTTTGCAGACATCCTGATGGAAAGTTCTGCATAGGTTTTCATTCCGAAAACAAGTTTGTCATTGCAGTTTCAGTCAATCACAATTTACGAAATTCTACCTTTATTATTCGGTTCAGTTCATGAGACAGTTATCCTGACGACAGATAACGTCGGTTCCGCGTTGTGGGGTTAGGTTTAAATGTAAATTTATTTTAATAAGGAAAAGTAATCTGTAATACGATCCCCCCGTTAGCGCGATGGTACCGGATACATCTGTGCATTTCGGTCCCATACACAGACCATAACTAGGACTGCTTGTAGCCAATTGCTTCACAAAAGTCAGAATACGGCTTAAACCCTGGTCTGAAAATTGACTATATATGAGTCACCTTTACTCGCGGTAAACAAACTACGAACAACCCGTGGTGAAGCATAATCATGTTTTCCATAATTTTCACTGGGCTGTCGAAAGTACAAATGACTGATGACGGTTTCCAAGCGAAGATCACTGTGAGTGGTGCCAAAAACTGAAACAAAACTCGCAGCATTCAACGGTCTCGCATCGGTGCAAATCAACAATGCGCTTCTAGTACGATGATCACTCGGAGAATGAACCCGTATGCGCATACAGGGCTATGCTGGATCGGGGTTCCTGTCAGTTCCGTTACTATATAACACAGCATCGACCTTCACAGTAGATGATCTAAGAAAGAACCCCACTGACATGCGAGTCCGGCTAACTGGAAAGCTCTGCCTGGAACGTCTGACGGGAAATCCTTTCTTCTGTTCCACCAGTCTGGAATTTGAGCAAACGAGACAGTGTTTACCTGCATTCACTGGGGTCACATCACAAAGTTTGATGCAGCCTCACTTCAACATTTTTATCCAATCACGGACAGACCAGAATAGTCGTACCATTGCACCATGCGAAATTGTCAGGGTCAACTATAGTGTAATCCATTTCATGACAATTCAATTTACCAGGAACAATTACGAGAAAACTAAATTAAGCCTTCCCCGAGGATAATTTCAATGCTGCACGACTTATGTCTCAGACGCATTAACACAGACAAAACATAAAAACGGGAAGGGTCAAAGGACCGCGTCATCAGGGTAAGGACAAGCTAAAGTTCTTTTCTTTAACACAGTGGGGCTTCCGTCAATTAACAATAATTGCTTCAGCAAACCTTAGCAACTCTGCGACCTATAGGGAATCCAAAACGCCATGCTTTGGTCTACCTGGTGTTGCGTCATCCGCAGATGTTGAGCAATGTCTGAGGAAGAGGTTTTATAGTTTCGATCTTCATTTTTATGCAGCAGACCTGACCTCGGTTATATCATCCGATTTTGGACCCCATTTGGAATATGTTCCACGACCAGATTACGTAAATGTCTCTCTGTTCTGCCAATATATATATATATATATATATATATATATATGAAGGCGGCTATCAACTCAGTCGACCGTTCTAAACTCTGACGCTGTCTCGCTCTAAAGTGTGTGACCTAATTTCTCAACCAGGAGACCTCGGGAGGGTGGTCACCGATGGTTAGATACACTGAGTGATATGACTGGATGTCACAAACAGTGGCGCTCGTGCATCCACTCATTATTCCCCTAACACCATTCTATATGAATTCTCCATGTTCCGCTTCAATTTACGTTCAATATTCTAATCTTCATCCTGCTGTTTTATCCTAATGGAGCACCAAAACCAGCGCCCTAAAGTGCACGGCTAATGGTTGTAAAAACTGAACTGAATATATGAAAGAGTACGTGGTAGGCTTCGAATATCATTCTTCTACAACGTAACTTGTAATCACTATCCTTATGCACAAAAAATCTGTAGCTGATTTTGTTATTTCCGACTGGCATGGTGAATGAAAAGATCTTTGCCAATTCAGAATACAAACTGATGGAGCGCGAAATCTCCGAGAGTGAGTAACGCGAATGACAGATAACGTGAAAGTACTTACGATTTGTAATTTAAAATAAACGCGTGTCAAAATGATGATTGCGACGATCCCTCCCATCAGTTTGAAAATCAACAAATAGTGACTGATAGAAATGCACCATTTTGGAATAGTCAGTCAAGACTATGCGTGGACAATAAGTTGACAAATGGACACGATGAGAAATACTGGAGCATATGGCGTGGCTCGAAGTGGACAACGGACAGAGAAACAGAGGAAGAAATCGACAGATGCATAACGAGACAGGGGCGTGTGTATTAGCAAGTGGAAGAGGAAGTGCACAACGAGAAGACCGTGTTGTGCAGGATGGTCGAATATAAAGATGGGGTTGCGAACAAATCAAGTAAAGTTTGTCTTGCATAGGTGGAATGTGAACGAACTATTAGTGATTGCTCATATTCTCAAAGTACAAATGACTTAAAGCTTGCTCCGCGGAAATTCGGTCGGAGGGATTGCAGATAACCAATTGCTGTAATATAGGAAAACAGAAAACAATAACAATCTTTTTAGTTCCTTTTATTGAATATGCAAATGTAAAAACAAATTTCCGCAACGGGATGATAACCTTAACCACCTGACTATTAGCACGAAATATAGGAGAAGAGATGATGATCCTATCGGACGTGCGAGCCCGGACACCCGGAAGGGAATCCCAGAACGGACGCAAATACACAGCACTCCCTTTGAACTTATGACATGGCACACTCTGAATCTGAATGTAAAAGGCTTACTCAAAGATAAACTGTCCAGAAACAATGAATAACATAAACAGAAAATATAAGAAAAACAAACTGCATTATTAGTCGTATGACAAGAGTGCTACTCGTGTGTGTCTATTCGGTGAGCTTTTGCGGAAACCGAATGCGAACGCACGGAAATAAACAGCACTGCTATATAACAATTTCTGTCTATTGCCGAGAGAGAATTCACCTACTCGGTTGGATTGCATATGCATTGTAAAACTCACCTGTAACAAGTCACGACCACGGAAAGACATCTTTGGGACCACTTGATGCCAATTCATATTGGGTGGATAGATCACAGAAAACGGCTAAAATGAGATATTAAATGACGACATGTGGACAAATACGAATTACCATACACAACGGTTGATGAAAAAAATTACCAAATATGAGCTCCACTAAAGGCACGTAATGGAGATTGAGGAGGATGGGGTGAAAGCGAATAGCCGGTGAGGAATTCACAACACGGCACGCCAATTCAATACACGGTAACTATTACCTTAAGGTGATGCAACGATCTGAGCATCGTTTAGATTGAGGACAAACAAAAACCCAAATGCTGGTGCCTGCGGCTGGGGATCTTCATCGATAGACGGATTGATCTCGTTGAAACAATTCTAACGTGGAATCAGTCACTGTTCTGTGGCCGTTTCAGGCCATATAGTGTCGCAAAAACCTAGGCGTTGCCGAAACTAAACTACGAACTGTAAACCGCAAAGTACGCATTGTTGAGACGGAAATTTTTCGTCGAAGGAGCCATCCTGGAACGTCACACGACTCAGACGAATTACCATGTAACATCGATTCACCCGGGGTGTGTGGTGTCTCAGGAAGACTTGCCGAAGAGATTTAATGAGGGGGCAAATAACTTTGGTCTCAGCGATGCGTGGTTCGCTGTTAGTAATCTGTAATTTCATTTTGGTAAGGCGTAGTTTTCTTTCAGTAATTTGTGCATCAAAAAGGTAAATTGGTTTTGGATGGAAACTCATAAAAGGAAAAACTATAAAAGGTCTCACTGGTAGATGGTGCATTCGGCTCGTAGAAGTTTCCGTATGTAACTCGATTAAAACCTTCAACTTGTTCCATTAATTGATTACGCTACCCCTAAAGCAAGTTTGAATGATTAATCCACATATAAGCTCAAGAGCACAATACCAAAAAAGCACGAAGAGGAAACATCCAGATCATGACCAAACCAAGCTTGCAAACAGAACCAATGGATATCGCAGTGAGAATTGAAGCAATGCAGAAATGCAACCGCGGTGTTGCTGGGCGATACCGGCAGCGCATACCGCCTGGTAGACAAGGTGGCATTCAACCAAGATCGGAGAAAGAAAAACTCCGCTGGCTGAGCTAGAAGAAGCCAATTGCATTATTATCTATCAATGGGTTCAAAAGAGATAAACTCCTATCGGACACCTGGTCATAAGTCACTTTTGCAAGTGAGGATTCACATTTTGTTGTTGGGTTGCAAGTGGTTGACTGGCAACATTTACGGGCTGATACACAGTTGAATGTGTTTAGCATACCCTAATCCCATCCCCGAACTGGTATGAGAGATAGTACAACAGCAGAGTAGCAAACAGCACTGGACTGACGGTTTTAATCGTAATCTAGTATTCGTATCAGTGGGAAAAAAGACATGCGGAAGGAATATTGCGAACACCAAAAGCAAACCTCGTAATCTGGCAATTCGACAACAGATGGCCACGTGGCATCAGTCGGAGTTCCCAGAAGTCTGAAAACCAAAAGGGAAACCAGTAAGAAAAAGGTAAGGCTCCAAAATAGACAGGATTAGAAAATACGTGTCCGAGGATGCACTAACAAGCTGCAAAGTAGCTGACTATAAATGATCATGCGCAACTGATATCTTGCATTCACTGTGAAATAAGGCAAAGACAGATGTCAGCTTTTCGTGTATTGCAATAGATCTTGCAGCTAGAGCTATTTTCTGCGAGTGTAAATAAGACAGAACGAATCGTGTTTGACGAATCCTCAGAATCCGAGAGTAACTGAGAAGCCAATGAACCAGCAATTATATTATCTCACTACCTGAACGCAAAAAAATAGACAAACTTGCTACCAGTGCACTATGAATTTCCGGTTCAAGACATGCATGGTAGGATTAAAAGTGGCCATATGTGGATAATGCAAATGATGTGAACCTATCAAAACCAACTTGAAAATTCGTTGCAACTGATCCTCTACATCGAAACCGGGGAACAGAGGACGACCAGCATTGGACATTTCGGCAAAAATGCATCCGGCTGACCATATATCAATGGAAGTGGTATATAATTTGGCTCCCAGTAGTACGTCCGGTGGTCGATACCATAGAGTAACTACCTGAAAAACAACCAAAGAGAAAAATCGCATGACCTAAATAGTTTATGGTTTGTACGTACTTCATCAGATGATGATAAGGTCCATATGAATTATCTATCTCCTCTTTGATACTATCCTAAACATTAAAATCTCNTACCCCTTTACTCAAACGGGCAGCCTAACGACAGAAATCAAAACAGCCGCACGAATGTGCACGGCTAATGGTTGCAAAAACTTGAAGAAATCGTTCACGTTCAATAATACGCACATACACGATGAATATTGAACCAGCACGCGTGGAAAATAGGTGAAACCATCAATCTAACACCTTTGGATGCCGGTTTTAATGTTTCGTTTGAACGCACACTGCTCAAACTCCAACCGCAGGATTTCGGAATCATACAGAGGTTACTGTGCCGGTTACTAGTCTCAAGTACACCACCCATTATAGGTGATAAAGACACCAGAGTTATTTGTATCCATAATAACAATAATAAGCCTCAGTATGGTCGGGGGTTGGTGTTTAGGGTTGAGGCTGATCACCCTTCCCTTACTCCTCGCGAAATGCTCCCATACAACCAAGCATCTCAAGTAGCCTCTGCTGAGGAAGCCCTGCTCATTGACTTCTCCTAACCCAGGTGTCGCAGGAAAGGGAGAGGACGAAAAGCCGACATCCGGGGCTATAACCGGATTGGTGGACCACTGGCAGTTCATCTAGCGGAGTTGGCTAAAAACCCTGATTCAAAACCAACCGAGAGGAGGCGTACGAACCACACACACAACTTCCTGGTTGTGGCAATGGTCACCGGCTCGTTTAGGCATCGATGTGTATTGGGCACCTTGGACGTTTGACCCCGTCCAAAGGGCGTATGATCCGATGAATTGGACACCGGATCCCAATGGATCGCGGTTTTTGCACACACCCCCCCCCGCTGCCTTGCGGATCAGGCTTTAGTTAGTCGAAGGCTCCGGTTGTGGACTTCTCAAGAAAATTCACCTGTCTGGACCTGGGCAACCTGGCAGTATTCCGCGCATAAGCAAATCATGGAACTTTTTTTCATAAAAATAATTGTACCATGATTTGTTCGACACAGTATGGCGTCAGACGTGTGTGAAAATACAAATATATATGATTGGAATGAACTTGGATTGGTCGGAATGGTCACCATGTAAACAGAGCTGCAAAAACCAAAACGCTTCCTAGGACTTACTTCAGCCGAATATTGTCGAACCGGTATACCGTAGGCGCGAGCCAAACCGAAATCAGCCAACTTCAGTTCTCCGTTATCATTGATCAGTAGATTTTGCGGTTTCAGATCGCGATGAAGTACGTTGTGCGAGTGACAATATTGCAGACCACGCAGTAGCTGATACATAAACAACTAAAACGGGTCAAGAAACGAAAACGATGCACGATGCATTGTCATTCTGTTGCTGACCAGAATGTATAAACTGATAAGATCATGTTTGAGTACTATTTTATTTACCACAAATGAAATGCAACATGCTCCAGAGTTATTTATGATCTGCGATTCGCCCATTCCGTATACACATATGCTCGTAGAGTTAATGGCACGTATTGCTTCCGCCCTCTCTCTTTCCGTCTTTTCCGGCACAGATCGTATCAGGATTGTCAATGGCCTGTTGTGCTTTCTTTAGCTAGGTTTTTCATCCTTATTTATTTTTAGACACCTGACAGTGTACTTGAGTCGGCACTAGGCGTTCACCCACTAAGCCCTGCAACTCTCAGTTATTTTCGAACGAAAACGACATTTAGTCGTAAGAGCGCATTCCTTCATTTGAGGGCGAATCACTTCTCGTTTCCATTTTCGAGAGTGGATCTCACAACGGCTGCAAACCACCGGCAGATAAGCTTGATTCCAATGGTCACCAAAGTGTTAGCTTCCGTTCTGCTGCGATGCCTGACTACCCCAAGATAGACCAGCATTCGTGATGTAGACGTGGTAATCCGGGGATATAACCGGGTCCGTGAACCGCTGGTGGTCTACCTGGGGAGTTGGCTAAAAAACCTGATCCCAAATCAACCAAGAAGAGGCATACAAACTGCACGCACACACCTTCCTGGTAGTGGTGGTCGTGGTCACCGGCTCGATTGGGCATCGAGGTGTATTGGACACCTTGGACGTTTGACCTCGTCCAATGGGTGTTTAATCCGAGTAACTAGACCCCGGCCTCCAATGGATTGTGGTTTGCACACACTGCCCTGCTACTTTGCGGATCAGGTTTTGATTAACCGAAGGTTTTGGTTGTGAATTTCCTGAGAAAATTCCCATCAATCCATATCAATTATCCTACAACACTACTCACAAGTAACTGAGTTAAAATGCAAATTACTGACCCAGCCTAGTAGGTTTGTGGCCAAATTTGGTGAGAGGCTTTTGATCGGAGCTAACTTGGAGCCGGGACCAGGGTGATCACGAATGCCTTGGCCTCGGGCAGAGGCTCACCCTTGCACTCTGGCGGGTTGAAGCCTGCGACGATCCCTAATCGGGATCGCTCGGACGCGCAGTTTTTGACAGTGGGGACGTCCTCGGACGATCCCTTTCTTGGGCGGTGGTGGCCCGGTGGTAACGTCACCAATTATCACCCCGGGGGACGAGTGTTCGAATCCCACCACCGCCTGACTTTCCCCATTTGTGTGTTGTATGGCAGCCCTTTGATTGGCCGCTTCCCCCTTCCTGAAAATTGTCTTTGTATATTCAATAAAAGAAGTAAAATGAAAAAACAGATAGTCAACTGTATCTCCCTTCGAGGGTATGAAAATCCTAACCAGGAGTCTGGGACACATAGGTCCTGGTAGGCTCCCTGGCTGGGGACCTCAGGATGATCGTATTCGATGGTTAGAGACACTGAGTGATATGACTGAGTATCGTAAGCAGTGGCGTTCGTGCATCTTGTCAATTTCTCTGCAACATTAGTCCACTGAAGTTCTAAATTTTCTCTTTGATCCTACTTTTAACCTTTCCCGTCTTTCTCCTAATACTCATCCAAACGGGCAGCCAAGAGGCAGTAACCAAAAAAGGCGCACGAAAGAGCATGGTTAATGGTTGTGTAAACTGAAACTGAAATTGTATCTCCCTTCATTGCTGTCGGGCCAAAACGAAGTAAGTATCTCCGAAGATGACACCTGAACAAACACGAATTGGCTATTCCATTTAGCCCTGGCATGAACTGATTGGTCCAGTAGTAATAAATACTTCCTCCATGCGACGCATCCGGAGTCCACATCCCGGACGGTGGATACGCCGTACTGACGAGCTCTTACAAGAGTAAAACTCAAGTTTAGTGTTTCCGAGTGTATGGTTGACTGGAAAAGTTGAGGAATGTGCGTGAAAGCGAAATCTGAAGGATGGTTAGTTCTAACCAATCAAAACTCACATGCAATGGCCTGGACAACCTAGCAATAACACGCCCTCGAGCAAATCATGGACCTTGATTCTTTTCATAAAGATTATTGTACCGTGATTTGTTTGGCACAATCTGAAATCAGTTATTAGATAGAGTGGGTTTACGCGCCCTACAGGTAGGGGTCTAAAAGACTTTGCAACTGTTTGGTTGAAGACATTGAGGAATACAGCAGCGAACCGACAACAGTGGCGTTCTTGTTATCATTTCCTATCAGGCCAGAATGCTTGAAAAGACATGTATTCACAGTTGCCCACTTTCTCACCCCCCTCCCTCAAAATGGGTTTAATTCCTGTTCATCTTACATGTTACCACTAACTTTGTATGCACTGCGAGTTTGGCAGGGATCAGTAAAGTTCGCTTCACTGTATTTCGCTGTACGATGACGATGACCAGGAACGTGTGGACAGCGTAGGATTCAACCAACTGAACTACGCGTCTNCCCCCCCCCCCCCCCCCCAGAGAAAAAGCAACTAATGTATTTACAGCCCGTACTTTCTTGGCTAGGTCTGATAGGTCGAACGCTCCTATGATGATACGCCAAGAAAAATATATATTATGATTCAACAAACCTTGCAGTATGGAGCCTATGAACTAATCTGGACACCAAAAATTTTGAACCTCTTCGTCATGGTCTCTGCAGTTTCAGTCAGCAGATTTGGGACCAAACTTAGCAAGACCACTAGAAAATGAAGCTAAAATTCCCGTAGCATTTGAAATGCAAAAATTATCAGAGAAAGATGTGTGTGACAGGTTGGAACGTACTTCATACTAGATCAAATTTTGATGCAAAAACGAGAATAAACTCACCTTGACTGTTTTTTGATCAATTTCTCCATTGCAACTATCGAAATACTTTTTTAAATCTTGATCGCAATATTCAAAGACAATGGTAAGACGTGATTCACTAAGAATCACATCGAACAGCCTGAAGAAAAATACGTGATCAATACGTTCACTTTTCCGTACAAACCTGACGATATTTTTATGTTTTAGTTCCTTTAGTAAGCATATTTCCCGAAATGCTGAACTTGGAATTCCTTCGTCATCATTTTCCAACCTGATACGTTTCAGTGCAACAATTTCATGAGTTTCACGATTGCGGGCTTTGTACACTTTTCCATATGTGCCTACAATTTAGGTGAAAGATAAACGGAGGCAACCAACCTTCACCAATCTTTTCAATTTTCTCGTACTTCAATAGAACGCGCTGGCTCATGACAGAAACGATCAAATACAGCTAACAGAATTCCGGGGAAACTCCCTTAAGGTACATCTGAAAATAAACTTCATACCTTATTATTGTTTGCGTTTTTGATATGGAGCCTACATACCAAAGACGGCAGCTAAAACGCAATAAAGATAGATGTATTTTGAATTGTAATGGGATGGGGTTAAGCGGAACCATCTGAGAATGATTTTATATATGTACATACCAGCTTGGGAGCGCGTTTGGTGAAAACTAATTTGTCAATCCTGTTTTTGAACAGAGTAAGTTTTTCGAAATACGGCGATTTCACAATTAGCAGTTTTGGTAAAAAAGATGACTGAAAGAAAGTGGTTCGACATCTGGGGACAGAAACTTGACAAGGGCGACTGACTGTTTTCTGGAGAACGAGAAAAGGACAAGGGGAAGGGAATCGCTGAAGCGCGTTCCGAAGAGCAGAAAACGAAATAGCAACGATAGAAACAAAACAACCGACGATGGGAAGGCGATTGCAGATTGAAAGTTAAAGACGGCTCGTTGATCAGCCAGACGGCCTTACACTGGACACGGTCAGAAGGTGAAAGAGCGGAATACCAAGCCCCAGCCCATAAGTGACTGTAGTATTTAAGCATCGGGCGAATTTGAACTTTAAATAAGAGGCGCTTGAGTGTAACGAATGGGAAACCGGCTTTGCGCACAGCGCGAGGAGAGTTTGAAAATAAATGGAGACCAGCAGAGAGAAGAATTTACGAATAAACCCAACGGGGGAAGAAGTAAATGGAAGAGTGCGAGTGAAAGATTGAAATCTTAGGGAACATCATTCGTTGGGAACAACCGAGATAGGACCCCATCGAATCGGACGGAGATGATCCGCTGACTGAGGAAACAATGGAGCCAAGACATGAGAGACGGGCGGAATCCGAACGTGAGTAATTTCGACGGCAGACCTTCGTGCCAAACGCGACTGAATATCATGGAAATGTAGAGTGAGACCAAATGAGTTTCTCCGTTGACGAGAAATGCGATATGAACCAATAAGTAAGTCATCTATAGATCAACGAGGGCGAATACAATAGTGACGGTCAATCAGTAAACCTCCGCGATCGAGAAACGCTCGCAGTTATTCGGAGGTATTGGTTTCAAAAACCTTCGAAATTACATAAGTGAGTGGTGAGTTAATGGTTCGGGGTCGGAAAGGTCAGCACGCTTTGGGATGTGAAAAATAAGGATGTTTTTCCATGGAGTGGGGGAAGATTTGAGATCAAGGGGAAGTACCGAAAAGGCGGCGTAGAACAGGGGGTAACTCCGGGGAAAGCCTCAGTATGGTCGGGGTGCCCCCATACAATCCGTGTTCCTTGACCTGAAAGGAGCCTTCGACTCAGTTGACCGCGAAGCTCTGATTGGCTTACTTCTTCGAAAGGGAATGCCCCAGAAGTACTCCAATTTAGATTTGCCGTCGAGATACGTTCTTCGCACATCAGGCGACGACGAAGCTCGTTAAGTAGGCCAGCGCGGGGTCCAGCGTCCAGAAGGAAAGCGACACAAACAGATGTTTGGTTATCATATCGGCAAATGCACCGACCAATTGCAGTTCTGATATCCAAAAGGATGCTTTCTACCTCCAACTCACTGATTTCATGCGGCTGAGCCGAAGCTCCGACTTGGTCGTACTTGTAGGTGACTTCAACGAGCAGGTTAGAAAACTAGGCGCATTAGAAGCTTGCCTAGGCGGTAGTTGTCCTCTGCTCAGCTAAACAACAGATAACGGCGATCGACTTCTTCAGTTCTGCGCAGACAATCATCTGTTCCTATCAAGCACCGACTTCCGACACAGCTCTCGACGGACGGCAACGTGGCGCTCCAGTTCAACTGGTACGCTAACTCAAATCGACCACATAGCAGTAAGCTACCGTTGGCGTGGTTTAGTGTAAAATTACAGGTCCTATTGGACCACCTGTGTCTGAGTCTGACCACGTATCGGTTTTGATGCAGTTCACTCTCCAACTGACTGGTCGGCGACAAAACCAGCAAACTCGTATAGTTCATCATCGACTATCTGTTCCAGCAGTTCCTGTGCGCTATGAATCACAGCTAGTGCGTGGACTAAGCGCGCCTCAACCTGATGATGTAGATGAGCAGTGGGATCAAATTAGGCAAACAATGCATTCAGCAGCGAATGTAGCTTGTGGGTCTGAGCCTCAAGCCCGTCGGAGGCATTGGATATATCAGGAGTCAGTAGTTTTGATGTAGACAACACGACAAATCCGGACCTGCCGGGATCAAAACAGAGTACGCTAGCGTCTTCAACGTCGGCTGACGAAGAGCCTCGAGAACTGGTGGGTAACAATAGCTGGTGAAACGGAAGTATCAGCTGCACCAGGGAATAGTCAGAGACTGTTTCGACTGATACGCAATGCAGGGAGGTCGGCAAACTCCAGTTAGTGAAACAGTCTGCAATAAGATAGGACAAACTATTCACAGTAGGGATCAACGTCTCGATCGCTGGGCAGAATACTTCAGTGAACAGTCCAGCTGGCCTAGAGCTAACCAGGCCGCTTCATCTCCCACTGATGCTCCGTGGGCAATGTCATGCGATCCTCCAGGTGAAGCAAAAATTAGGTCTTGCGTTCAAGCTCTGAAACGAGGAAGGGTAGTAAGACCGGATGTGCTCCCTCCCACTCGTTTTAAGATGGAGGTGATGACCTCGTAAGCTCTATTACTACCCTACTGCGCAACAGTTGGACGCAAGAGTACATTCCTTCATCCTGGGGCTAACCACTGATTGTTCCCATTTTCAAGAAAGGATCCCGCCACGATTAAGAAAACCACCGCGGNACCGCGGGATAAGTTTGATCCCGATCGTTACCAATGTGCCAGCTTCGGTTATACTTCGACGTCTGACGCCTTTAAAAGAGACCAACATCCGTGAACAGCAAGCCGCATTCCGGCCTGGCCATTTTTTTATTACACACATTTGTGTGGTGAACAGCAGACAGGGCGAACCCCATAGTCACAAAGAATTGCTGCTCCGTCGTGCAAACTGGTAACCTAAGCCCCGGGACTTGGCATGGCGAACCACATGAGGCCCCCATAGTTTAGGCGTGGTATTGATCAAATTTTTACGTTGCATCAGATGCTTGAGCTGCGTCACACCCACCGTCGACCAATAATCAGTGTTCCTTGACCTGAAAGGGACCTTTGACCCAGTTGACCGCGAAGACCCGATGGGTTCCCTTCGAGGTAAGGCGTCGCGTATTCGGTAATGATTCGATGGAGAATTCGCTGTACCCAGGAGACTCGATCATATAGAGACCGCTAAGCTACCTGGATGGGGACCTCGAAAACATGGTAACCGATGGTTAGAGACCGCAACTTTTTTATTACACACCTAGGTGTGATGAACAGCAGACGGGGTAAACCCCATAGTCACGAGGACCTGCTGTTCAGTGGTTGAAATCGGCAACCTAAGCCCTGGAACTTGGAGTGGCGAACCACATAGGGCCCCGATAGATTAAGCGTGGTATTGAACCGGACGACAGTAGAGCTACCTACCACTGTCGCAAACGGTGGCGCTGATGCACCTACTCAATATTCTTGCTACCGCAGTCCATTTGAATTCTCTATCTTCCCTTTGACTCCGCTCTCAACATGTCAATCTTCATTCTGTTCTTTTATCCAAATGAGCAGATGTTGACCTATACCGAACCTTCGAGGTGTACAGCACATACAGAGATACTAACAGCAACTCAGTCGAGAAGTGAGCGCTCAGCCGGATCGCCTGACTAACAGGGGGGGGGGGGG